GCCGCTCCAATGAGGTAACGCTCGGCACGCGTCACATCCGCCGGTGCGTTGTGGACGGCGACCTCGTCACGCGGCGCCCAGCGCGTTACTGTCGGCGGCACCCAAAGAGTTCCGTGTAAACGTTTCGAGGATGCATTGAAAATGTGGCCGCTGATTCATCGTGCGGCTGAAGCCGTTTCATATTTGCGGCTCGTAGTGCTTCTTCTTAGTTTTTGGCGGTGTCCTTCTCCCCTCCCCCGTCTCTCGTCGGCGAGGAGGCGTCTTTCGCACGCGAGGCTTCAGCAGGCGTGTCATCACCTGATCAAATAGGCGGTGGGGCGACGGAGAGCGGCGCCGACCCGCGGGGAGAGTGGCGGGCGCACGTGGGCCCTCTGCGTGCGGGGCGCGGCGGGGCGCGGCGTGCCCGCATTCCGGGGGCCTTCTTGTCCGGCGGCCCGGCCCCGCCAGGTCCGGTCGGGTCAGCGGCGGCGGCGCGTCAGCCCGGACCGGCCTCGGCCCCCCCGACCGGTACAGGGGCTCAGCCAGCCCGCGGGGCCCGGCGCGCCCAGGAGGCAACGCCCCCCCTCTCCCCTCCACCACCCCCGGCTGCAGGACGTGGGGGGCACACGCGTGTACGACTGCAGTTGTACCGCACTGCCCCGCCGGGCCGAGGGGAGCGCAGCGGGCGCAGCGTAGGGGGCGCTATCTGCCTTATTTGCATAGCGCCCCTCCGCCCGGGCGGGGTGTGCTATGGCGGCGGCCCGCCCCCGCCCAGCCCCCGCCCCGCCCTCGGGTCTCCTTGCTTCTTGTCCACGCCCCCCGCCCTTCGCCCCTCATTCTCCTGTAGGCGGAAGTGGCTGCGGCGCCGGAACCCCGTGGCAGGTGTCTGTTTGATTTCCATCTCTGGCGGGCGGGGCGGGCGGGGCGAATTCGCGGCGCCTCTCGGCAAGGTCGGCGGCGCCGCGCCTCCTGGGATCCCCCGGGCGGGGCTGGTCGGGGTGGGGCGTGCCAAGGGCGGTGCCTCATTAACAGCGCCCGGCCCTTGGGGGGGCTGACGCGGGGCTGATCGCGGGTAGGGGGGTGGAACCAACCCCCACCACCCAAAGCGGCTTAGGCCTGTCGAGAGTCGCCATACTAAGAGGATTCGTGGTGCTGGTGATTGGCGACATCCCCTGGAGACGGCCGCCAGGCCACACCCCACCCCGTTGCACCCCGCC